TTGTTTCAGTAGTTTTCTTAGCAACACATACAAAAGCAACCTGGTTCCTGCGTTTCTCATTCACTTCCATGCTGGGCGGATTTATATCCGAACAGCCTGTTCAGGTTTGATGGTACAATCTCTGTTAAAATTTAAAAAAATACAATCATGAAGGGAAAACTCACCCAAACATTTGCTGCATTGTGAGGAAAGGTAAGGGCCGGCCTCTGATGTCAGTACAAGATGGGGGAAGGTGTTTGCAAAGGCTAACTTTAGCCCGGTCAATCTAATCTCCCAAGCTAAATTAGGTTTGTACCGAGACTTGCCCTCAAGAGGATCCTGTCTTTCCACTGGCTCTGCAGAGAGCCTGGAGAGATTAGGCTCATGAAGAGTAGTTACCCTTTGTGGAGGTATCTGCAAACACATCCATGGATTTCCACACAGGGCCGAGGTCGGGGATAACAGCGAAGTCACCTCTTCATCCTCGTGGCATCTTTCTCACCTTAGTGTTAGCGAAGAGGCAAAAGGCCTTTAGCTCACAGTCCCACAAAAGCTTCAAGTCCGGTTAAGGCAGTACTGCAGCTCAAGTCTCCGGCCCCACTTTCCTCTTATCCCACCCACTTATCCCCACGGCTGCACACCCCCACCCGCCACGGATCCAGGTGCCTGGGCTGCTGCCCGCTCAGCTCAGCTCGGTTAAACCCAGCCTCGGCGTGGAGGGACTCTTAACCTGGACTCAGCCTGCTGCAACACCTTTTACCGTGCAGCCGTCTGAATCAAAACACAAACAGGAGGAAGATAAAGGATAAAGGAAGGAAAGACTAGTGTGGGAGCAGGGATAAGCAGCTAGGAGTGGGTGGCTGGGAGGGGCTGCCTCCTCAGCAGCAGAGCCAGCTTAAAGTGTTTATAAAGCTACAGCCTTTGTTTCTTCGGTGTCTTGCAGAACCACACTTTCCTCCTCCTGTTTGTATAGGCCAGCTCCCTCCTCCCGTATTCCCAGCTCAGCTGCGCGCAGATTTGCGTCTAGAGGCCAGAACAAGCCTGTCCGAGATACCCATAACAGTTTGGACAAGGCAAGGACTTGTGAGAGTCTCTTAAAAGACCTTAGGATTAGCAGTAAAGTTTACTGTAGGTTGTCTGAGGATTAATTTTTAGTGCATTATTCATCTCCAGGGCTAAAATATTGCTTTTTTCTAGGTTTCAGGGATCCCTCTGGGTAAAGCTGCTGCCTCATAACATTTTCTACATTAGAGCCTCAAATGCTTACTGAAAAATGTCTTTTAATTTTGCCTTTTCCTCAGCAAAGATCTCCAAGTTTGCTAAAATATTAAACTATGATTTTAATATCCTAAAGGGACAAAGATATCTCGAATACTCACTGCTTTTATGACTGAAATTCAAAGCTCAACATATTCCAAATAGGTCGTCAGAGGAGATGAAGCATCCTGCCTACTCAGCTGCATCCTGCTTCTGGAAAATTTTAGTTTGCTGTACAGTTTTAATTATCCCCTTTGCAGCTACAACAAGGAGGAGTAAATAAAAGAAGCAACACAGAGGTAATCAATAAACCTCAAATTAAGGATTTGAATTTTCTGTGAGAAGAGCCTGAGGAAATATTTGGATGCCTTCATTGAATATTATGGATTTCCATGATAAACACTGACAGAGACTATGCTTCAGTATTTCACTGACTTTCTACTCCTCATCTTCTCCCTCCAGTTTAATAGGTGTGGGATTCTGTAAGGAAGTGGACAGAGGTTAAGTGGGAACACACGGAAAACTAATATCAATTCAATGCTGAGACTGGGATTAATGCATAAAGAAAGCACTGCTGCAACTTCTGGAATTCTTGCTAAGTCCCAGTTTGCCAGGTATTTATTCTACTGAAAGAAAAAAACCCCAAACAACCAAAAAACAAACCTCAACCCCAAACCAGCAGTATATTAAGGAATACACAGAAGATGAAATATTACACGTTCATACTGTGGAAGCATCTAAAGCAGAGCTAATGTGATCCTTACAAACCTGATTTTCTGCTTGCTACCTTTTTTCCTTTTTCTGATTAAAAAAACCCAAGCCCAAAGAAAGGCAATCCTAATTGCTGTGGCCTTTTCCTTTCCAAAGGCCTTGCTTGCTGAAGGGCTCTGTAGTTCTAACAGTGTCTTTAAGAAGTAAAATAAAATAAGGGAACCTGAGTGTTCAGAAGCACTCCAGTTCAGAGGTGAGCTATCAAACCCGAAATCAGCATTCTGGGGTCACGCATAATTTGGCTGCATGAAGAAACAGTCTCAGCTGAAAAAGACAAAAGACTATTGAACAAAACACAACACCAAAAGGCAGAGATGAAGTTTTCAGTATTACGTGAAGAACTTTAGCTTTTTTATGGTACTGGAAGGCCCTTGCTATATTTCTGGGAAAAGTGTTTTTCTGAGACAGATTCTTCAGTTTGCAGTAGAAAGAAGAAAGGGGCACTGCAGAGTTTTACACTCCAGTATGACTCCAAGCTCAGTCTCCAATTCCCAAACACTTCTGAAGGAGCAGATCCTGCCATCTGAAATGGAAACCTAGACTACAGGTTTGGTTTCATTCCTCAGCAGAATTTTCTCACTACTTTTCCTCATCTGTTCATTGTCCTAAAATTCAGAGTTTCTTTCCGAGCCTGTTCTATCTTCTTACCCCTGTTGTTCTCAGTAAGCACACAAGTCAACTCAAGCAGCACCCCCTTCTTCAGCAACTAACCTTCTTTCCTTCACTCCACAAAAGGCGGGGCTATGCATTCTGAACCCCCCCAGACATCCCTTATGGCATAATACAGTGAGAGATACATCTCCATCGGTGTTACTTGGTGTAGATGCAACCAGAAGAGAAGGCAGTGAGAAGAAACTCTGAATTAGCTCTGTCCTTGTCTGCTTTAAGATAAGCCTCAGCTTGTCAAGCACAGTGCCAACCCTACTGTTGCCATGAACATCAAGAGTTAATAGAGGATGTTTTTTTAAAAAAATATGCCTTTAATTTCTGTAAATGATATGTTACTCTGAAAAGTAATAATAAGGATGTTTGTAAAATTTCTACTTGCCTTTTTTGCAAACAAAAATGTTTGCCCCATGACTAAAAAACCTATCATAAACACAGCTTGAGATGCTTAAGGATTATTTTTATCCACCAGTTACAGAAGTTCTGCATGCCAAATGAGGTCTTAACTATGTGTCCTTATCATCTTTAAATTGCACTCTCAGATAATCCAGCATCACAGACACCAATTAAGCATGTATTTAGTCTCATACAAACTCTTTTGTGTGAATTCCAGTTTCTTCCACACCGGTTCGTTCAGAAATAATACCAATTAACTCCGCAGAGTCCCATAAATTATAACGGCTCCATGAATTATTACGGCTACAGTATTAGAAGCAGGACTTGCTATCTTTAAAGTCTGCCCTTCCTGGTATCTGCTCAACATGCTATTTTCACTGAATCTGCAAGAATTGTAAGCAATTTGGTAACAAAATGGAACCAGAACACAACTTGCTGTCTATGAGGTACTCAGCGTAGGAAAAGTCTGGCAGTTCTGTAGGCACAAGTCTCGTGGGGTTAGTGACTTGTCTATAAAGAAAGTAGCTCTTGACTTTTAAAATTTATTTAGAGCCTTTCCCAAGGAATGTGAGCAAATCCCTGCACCCCTTGCCTCCCAAATCACACTCTACATGAAGGGCCGGATGTATGGGGGTGGGGAACCTGTTTGAAATCGTACAACTACACTAACTGAAACCTGCATCGTGATTTACACTGAAGCACCCTCACAGATGAGGCTACCGAGCTGCGCCGACGTCAATGCCCACATTAAAGAAGAGTCTATACTCTTTTAGGGGTTACCGATCAGGTTCTCTGCGCCCACAACAGAAATGCCTCCTCAGCAACGCCTTTGGGTTCTGAAACTGTACCAACAGATGCTAATAAAAAATACATGTAAAATGTCTTTCAGTCATTTATTCTAATTAAAACCTCACGTGTCTTCTGCCAAGTGTAAAAACATTTTAAAGCCACACAAATACAGGTGACCCAACAAATCTAAGTGCATAGTCCGTGGTACAATAAAATCCAATCAAGACGTAGTAGGGATTATCCTTTTTATTTCCTTTAGAAATGGATCAATGAAATCCCTGTGCTTCAGGAACACACTAAAAAAAATTTAATAGGACTCTTACACCAGGTAGCCTTCTCCTTATCAAAGTTGTACATTGCTTATAATGATGCAGATTGGATCTGGAACAATAGAAACATGAGTCCAGTGCCACCCCAGCGCTACGCTGATAGCGAGTACATTCACAAACAAACCCTCCCCCCATTCTTCAAAAAACCTGCAGAGTCCCATTTCTACAGCTAGCTAAAAATAGTCTTGTTAAAATAGAAAAAGATTCTTCTACAAAAATTGGGGGAAAAGTCATGACATTTTGTCTAAATTGGTTGCAGACAACTAAGTACGATGACGGATCAGTCTTCCCAAGGCTTTCCCTTCCACGAGTTCACCCGGATTTTCCTCTTCCTACAAACAGTCCAACATTGCCACCTTGTGGGCAGAGGTGGCACGCTCATCGCGACAGCTGCCTCTGACGTCTCAGAAAAGCCATGGCAAATACCTAGTCAGTATATAACCAGTCAGTGGTTATCTACGGGATACAATAATATATTCAGTGAATAACCACCCCGCAAGTAAAAAAGGAAACTGAATTCTGAGAAAGGGCTCCTTATGCAGGGAAACCAATTCTAAGTATGGTCCAACAGACGCAAAATAATTTAAGATATTCTGTGACGAAGTCTTCAGCATCGTGACGCTCCCCTCCCTAAAGGCACAATCCGCTTCCGCTCACTTCTCAGTAGAGCACGTACTTCCCAACAAGCAAAATCTACGTGTATGCAAAATGCCTAAGACCATCCATTTCTTTAAACGTAAACATACTTGAAAAATTTGAAGCCTTTTTCCTGGAGTTCAGGAAGCAATCGAAATTGAATTGTAAAAGCATCTTTCACACAGACTTTTTCATTGCTGCCTTCCTCACGCTGAAGAGATAGGCTTCATAAATAATATTTAAGAAGTTGTCATCATTCTGAAAAACAAAACAGGTAATTGTTAGTGCACGATAGGTGTTCTTGAGGGATTAGAAGTTTTTTCATTTCATGGATGAAATACGTTTCAACCTTATTCTATTTTAAAAATACGTGAGCAATAGGAAGGCTATTTCCTTTACCAAAACCATGTATTATTTCCAAGCCTTGCTAACAGCCACAGAAGGACTGGATGTGAATATAAACTTTCTTGCAGCAAACATGACTGTATCTCTGTAAGTAGTAATGGGTACACAGAAAGCAGTGTTCCAAACTCACAGTGAATTGAGTCCACAGTTCTTGAATGATACCGCAGTGACGACACAATCCTGTAAATTCTTCCCTCTGCCCTCACTTACCCAGGGATTTCCATAAGTAGCCTCCTCCATTAGGTCAGTGATAATTCTAATTGCATCTGAAGGAACAGTGGGTTTTGATCCTATACTAAATCCTACCTGGACAAATCCTTGTGTCTTGTTTAGTACTTTTAGGCTTAACGCTCCTAAACTGATGCTGCTCCTTTTGCCCTAACACTTGTTTAACTTTTCCCTTCTGGAGATCGTTTTACATGAACGGGTGAACCCACATTAAAAAACACTGGTGTCCTAAGTAACTCACATAAATTTATAAAGAGAATTAAAATCAAGATACTACTTGTGGAAAACCAGGAGCATTCGAGATGGTAGTTTTCCATGATGGAAAGTAACAGGCAAGAAATTGGTGGTAACTTCCAGGTAACTCCATTAATCCTAACTACCACCCAGAAGAGCAGGGTCAAATATACACGTACAGTTTCAGAGGGTAAAATCCAATTTTCCTTGACCAGTTTCTTTTTTAACTTCACGTATGGTTTTGCTACTATCCAGATACTCAAGGTATGTAAAGACAGGATAATGTGATATTTTTAGTATCTAATCCCACACTAAAAATACAGGGAAAATGAGAAAAGCTTCTGATTTGTTAAAGATACTATTTTCTTTCTGTGTCTATAATTTAAACTGCCATTTTAAGTGAGTAACTTCAACATTCCAACAACGCCTTTTATTTTTATTCCAACGCCATACAGGTACATAGTTTTGGCCTACAAATTTGACCCTTAAACCTGTGTCTCTATTCCTTATGCTTTATAGCCAGGTCTTCAGTTAACAAACCTCTCCTCAACCTCTACTCTTCAGATATTCATCACATGGCAAGCTAAGGAAAAAAATATTCGTAATCACTCACATCATCCCCGAGCAGTAAACAATCATCTCATACATAATGTTGTTAATGCATTGTCACATTCAAACCTGAATAACTGCAGCAAAAGGAATTTTAATGTTTGAATTAAAGAATTACATTGAATAGACTGAACTCGTGTATTTTTAGGTTATCTAACCCGTATTTTCAAGTTGCTGACACTCATCCTGCAATTTTAATTTCCCATCTGAATTCCTCTTACTGCTAACATGCATCTCTGAAATATTTGGCAGTTAGGATAATCACCCATTATTTATCCTTAGCTAAAACTGCAATAGGTATCGCTCTGGCTCATAGGCCAACCCCCTGAAGCTTTCAGTTATCTCTGTTCTTCCCTGTCAAGCTTATTATCTTTCCTGAACCCAAACCCCGATGCATTAACCAAAAAGGAGTTAATCCAGCAGTGTACAAGGAGAGGCTATCACGCCCATGGTCTACGCCATAGTGCTCCATTAACAATGCAGCCAGCTGTGACCAGTACAACTTCCTTCATATACTCCAGTTACTCATTTAGGCTCTGGACAGATGGATGGAACCAATTACAGGGTGCTTCCATCAAAATGGGAATCAGAACTTTAAGCAAAGTAGGAGAATCCTTGGCCCTTTACCTGGATCAGGTGCAGAAGTGTTTCCTGCAGCTGCATCTTCGTCATGGAGCTGCTGTTGACCACGGAGGGCTCTGGGGTTTGCAGGGGCAGGAGAAGGCCAGCGGAGCTAGCAGCAGGTTCTTGGTTTGCGGCTGCTAACCGCCCACTTTCATTTGCTTTCGGTGGAGTAGATGTGGACTGAGTGAACACCATGGGGGACATCAACAGGGTATGCGCTGAGGTGAGATTACCTGTCCATATAAAAAGAAAGTCATCAATTAAACCTATCCACTTAATTCTACGGAATAAAGATGATGAAAACTGCAGAGTGATTGGCAACAGCAACTGGAGATGGATAGTTATATGAAAGTCCACCTATATGATCTATTTCCAGATTAAAAAGTCTTCCGTTCAGTTGGGGATTGCAGCAATGGATTCAGGTGTCATTAAGTCTATCTGATAGGCCAATGGTCTTAGGACAAGAGCATTTTGTTACAGAAATCAGACTATTATTAAATATCAGCACTCTAAGAAAATGCAGCTGTAAAGTCTTCTAAACTCACATACTGTCCCTGTGTAATCTTCTCAAAGATACTTACATGCAAATATCACTAGTAAAGACTAATCTTGGTACTTAATACTAGAAAGAATTTTCCAGTTGTAACTTTTAAATTACTTAATAACTACATATATATGCATTTCTTCTCATTTTACTTCAGGGGAGGGGAAAGAAAACAAAGACCTAGTGATGTATCTAAAGAGCCACAGTGAGCTGGTAGCACTGTCAGAAACAGGACTGACTCCTAGCCAACACTCATTTGACAAAATCAAAAAGGCACGCAAAGAGAAGGAAAACCTTGATGCTGCATTAGTTCTGCAAGTTCCCTCAGTATCATATCCACACCAATCTGCAAAGACAGGCCTTAAAAATTTTTACTTTTAAATTTCGCAATGCATCTTGGAAGTATAAAACATGCAGGACTAGCAAATACTATCAGATTTTTTTATTTTTAAAGATTTTCAAATACTACCAGATTTTGGTTTTTTTTCCAAAGAACAGAACATACAAAGGAGTTGATATAAGTTCACCAAAGCTTCTCTCTTTGGGACTGGAGCATGATTTATTGCTCTTGTATGAAAATGAAAGGCTACTAAATCACTTCACTCTGGTGTCCTGGATTCCCTACCAATTTTGAAGAAAAATTAAAATTAAGAAAATAAAACTGAGGTTCATCTCCAGGCATGCAGAATAACGTATTTGACACTAAAGAACATCCATGTTTTTGTAGCCTGTCTTACTCCTAGTTAAGATTGTTCTACCCAAGACATTTCTGAACCATGTTAGAGTGCAATACAAAGAGAAATAGAAAGAAATGAGGAGGACTGAGATCTCATGATGTTTTACACAGAATTTAAGGAAGCAGAAAAACTACGAGTCAGGAAAGACTCACGGATATTAGAAAGCATGCAATATGCAACTAATGCAAAAATCCCCAGTTAAAGAAAACACTGTTTCTCTTTCTCGAATATAGAGTACCACTTAAAAATGAAACTCCTGACCTGCAGCTTTTTTCCTACCCCATGACACGTAATCATAACAGCAACCATCAGGTCTGTGTTACAAGCTCCTGAAGGAGTTGAGGGATCCCTAGCTCATTGTAGGTTTGCTTCAAACGGCAAGGTAGTGCATATGGTTGTGCACCTATGGTTGAAAAACAACGTTCATTTTAGAAGAAAACCAAAGTAAGTCTGAAGTGACACCCCTCTGTGGGGCGAGACCTTCAGACTGTGCACAGATGTTCTCCCGTAAGCGAGAAGATTGTTCTCCTGCCTGTGGAAGATTGACTACCTCCAGACATGTAGCACAACCCTTCTGCTCTTTAATCTTTTATCATGCAGCTCTTTAATTTACCTCAAGCAAAACTGGCAGGGTTTGCTGAAACCAGATGATTCTTCCTCATGTTATTTAAACAATGCATATACAAACTGCTCTCCAAGGGCAGGAACCTCCAGGAAAAGCATGGGGGTGAGCAGCTGGAGGAGATAAACTGTCCCACTAGTGTAGCTGAACCTATGACAGACTATGTCAAAGACCTAGATGACACGTCCTTCGAAATCAAAGGACCTTTCTCTCTAGAGTCCAAGGCAAATAAACAAAAACTGAGACAAACTGTGCTCTGAATAATATACAGGTACTACTATCAAACACTTATAATGCTGTGCTTTAAGACATATGAAAACCCATTTGTTTTCCTTGGACAGAAACAGCTTTTTGGAAGCACTGGCCAAGCATATGGAAGCTATATGGAATAAGCAATATTGCCATCTACTGGTGACACAGCTAATACCTACAGGTTACCGCAAAACTGAAAAGTTATGCCAGAAGAATAGAAAATATATGCATCATTTTTTCAGTGCATAGCATTTGTTGCTCCACGCAAACATCAAAATGTATTTTCTGCTAACAGTTTGTGCTCAAAGCTTCTGCCATTTAATAAACATTTACATAAACAGCATGGCCTTTTTAAAACATAAAGGAAAAATTTTCATTTTAGATTTAGTTCAGATCACCTTCAGTCACTGGGATAACTGACACCCACCAGAAAATGGGATGCTGATCTCAGCATTACTAGTTGAATTCCTATAGCACCATACTTTTGCTGAAAGCACTGAATAGCCTTTGGGCCAATCTTCTAGCCATGAGTTAACTTCTCACCAGACATAAGAGCCTTTCCAAAATGCTGTTGATCATCTTCTTTCCCACAGAATCTAACCCGAGTTGCTTGTTCATCCAGCCTCTACTGAACCTCTCCAGCTTTATCAGGTCAACACTTCAATCTCTGAGTCACTAATAACAGAGTAGGGGTCTCCTGTCAGTTGTGCAACAATGACGTGAGAACAACGAAAAATGTGCAAAATAATGGTGGCGGCAGATACTATTCCTTCTCCGAAGCACAAATGCTCACCAAGATATCTGTTTGATACTCTGCGTGGCTGCTGGCAGCTAGACGACACGACAGCTGGCAAATTCACGTAACACCATGAACGAAGGGATGCATTGGCTCTCCCGCAATGCAAACCGGCACCCTCTGTTGCTCCCTACTGCTGCAGAATCCCACGTGCACCACGAGCCCCTCTGGAACATCAGCACCCAGTGGGTCCTGAGGGCCTCTAACTGGTTTGAGTGGCATTACATAAAACTGAGAACATTTAATCTAGGAATGACTCGGTAACTTAAAGACAGTCACTATTAAAGTAAAGCTGGCTACAATGCTAGCATTGCTTTGTCTTTCCTGTTTAATTCCTATTTTTTTAATTGTTGTTTAACTATAGAATCTTCAATTATTTTTCAAAACACGTTTAATGTACCTATGGCATTCCTCCTGTGCGTGTTTACAGTCTCACACTGAAACTGCCACCAGGGCAATGGAGAGGTAACAGTGCGATGCTCACACCAAAGACACCAGGTACCACGCACATATTCAGAAGCTGTAACACCATGTACAAAATACATTCTTGATGGAAAGTGCTCCGAGACATGATAAAAATGGGCTGCAAGATCAGCGGTCTTAGGAAGAAAAGATAAATTTGTGTCAAGGTTACTGTAAGCACTTTTAAAACCCTAATTCTGATTAACATAAACACTTTAGCATGCATGTATCTATAATCAGGATAACTCATGCCCAACAGTAAGCATATGCTTAAAAGCCCACTGCAGATTAATGCTTTTACAGTGCATCTTGAGCACACGTTACTCAGTGCCCGCATAAGGAACGCTTCAGAGTAGGGCTGGCACCAGACCAGACTGAATGCTTCCGAGTATTATTCTTCAGCTTTTGCTTTTTTAATTCTTCTTCTTTTTTTTTTTTTTTTTGGTAGCTGGTCTCTTCCTTTCTATGTGGGAGATCACAGTTCTTACACCATATGGAGATGCAGCAGAAGCCAATTTAAACTTGGACTTGTAATGTGTCAGTTGTGGAAAAGACTATTGCTTTCATTTTCTCCGTGCTGCTGATGGAACTAGTGTGTTCCTTCAATACGATTTTTCCAATAACAGACACTGTCCAGATACCTTTCTTGTCCTGTCAGACTTTTTACTATTTGCTTTTTCTGTATGCTGAGTTGTAGTAAAAGAGGCAATACCAGAAGATAAATAATTACAGAGACAAACCTTTGGCTGCCTTTGTTGTCAGAATCTGCTTTGATCAATTTTGCATGAGCATGTGCAGATGTATTTGTGCCAATTCAATTTCACTCGAATGTCTGTCTGCAGGCATGGCAGTACTGAAAGCCTTTGGTCTACAGCAAGGATGGTGTTATAAAAAGATTAATGTTGGGTTTAAAAGTTGTTTCAAATTTTTATCTTCCAATTTTTTTTTCAAAGGTAGGAATATTTCATGTGGCTAATTCAAGGCATTCTACAGGAATACAGGCTTGTTCCTTCATTTTTAGCCCACTCTCCCCATTTGTTTTTTTTTTTATGGCAATCTGCTGCATGTAAAAGAGGCCATTCATTCCAGACTGCAGAGCTCTAGGTGTCCTAAACAATAATTAGTCTTACTTTCATCACCACTTTTATTCCATGTATTAAGTCTCACGAACAGCTAGCTGCATCCAGTATTGTTTTGCTTGTGGCCGTATCAGCCTGTAAAGCCACTCCTGGGCAGCCTCAGTCTACCTGGCCTGCTCACAGCCATGCAAAGTGAGACTGAGAGGCTGCGTAGTCGCTTTCTGGGGTTTTTTTTTAAGGCCAACTTGCAGCAGTACTCGCAGTGAATGAGACTTGTTCCAGCGAAGATTTTTCTCTTCTCTCAAGCTATTGTTCTATTCGTACTCAAGCATAAAAAATTATTGAAATTGCCTTACGTCAGACCTCGGCAATTCCCTTTCCATATTGCAACTGACGCTGGCACCATTTTCAAATACACACAAAGCCATTAGCCATATCAGCATCTATATGGGTTATCAGCATATTTCCCGCTTTTATTTACACGTACCGGCTTAAAACGTAGAGCCTGGCGCCTGCCTCATTTCACTTTTACCTTCAAAGTAGCAATGTCTTATGCCTCCTCACTATCAGTACATTTACCTATGAATCAGACAATTTCTTTCATTTATAGCAGGCAAGATCCATTCCCAGTGAAAACAGAAGGAAGTTTCTGTGACTCCGGATCCTTTTTTATTCATTAGTATTCCACTGGAAAGTCAGATTACCATCTGTAAGCAACTGATCCTGAATAATTTAAATGACTAATCCCCCCAAAACTCTCACACACAGATTCAAAGTAATGCTGCCTTAATTAAAAGAATAAAAATAACGATGGCTATTTGCTGTATCAAATCCACCTTTCTCTGACCTCTCTCATGGAATGAGAAGTCTTGACCTGTCACAGTATTGGTGACAGATGTGGCCCTTAACTGATAAATGAGTGTTTCAGCCTCTTCACACATAGGATAACTTTCTAGAATAAGGAGGATTCTTGGAGTGTGCTGGTGTATTCTGCAGTCTTTCATTCAGCTTTTTAAGAAGTTGCAATAGTAAAGCAGCTTTTGAACTTCACACTGAAAAGATGAATGTTTTATCATTTGGATAAGTAACGTGGACTCCAACACAAGTCAGACTCCAGCACAACACAAGTCTTGCAGGACAGTCTGTCCACAATAAAGGAAGTTAAGAGGAGCTTAGAAGCTCGCGCATCCCCAGACAAGACATTTAAAGTGTAGAAGATCCAACAGAGAACAAAGTTGCTAACAAAGACAGCAGTTGTCCAGGATAGGTCATTTTGTAATTGCACACGATGCTTTTCTGAAGAACAGAAAAATGCACTCATGAAAGAGACATGGTCTCCTGACACCACTTGAATTTTTGAAGACACCAATCTGACTTTTAGGGTCACGATCAGCAGAAGTAAGGGGTCTGGGTTTTTTGAAGGCATTCAGGCACAATGTCTTCTTTCCAAAATAATACATATAGCTAATGAATAGCTAGAAGTAGCAGTTATGGTACAAGATAACTAATTCAGCAATATACAAATACTTCAAAAAACTGCTGTTAGGAAATAAGTGACCTTTTAAACATCTTTAGCAACTGGCATACAAAGGAATGCATACTTGCATAGAGAAAGCTATGACTAATTTTGAAAGAAAAAATAATTATTAAACCCAAAATATTACACTCAATAACCAGCAATTACATACAACAGCCTGAAACCAAGTATGACAACAGAAAACCAGGTAACTTGGAAAAATTCCTCTGGAAAAACCCAAGACTGCAGTATTTTTGGTCATTACTGATGTGCAAGAGATGTGGCCTTCAGTATTTACAATATCACAGTTTGTTAAATCATCACTTACTTGATGTTGTTAAATTATCACCTGTAAAATGAGGAATAGGCAACATCTAGTAAGAAAGTAACAAGAATATACTGGCCAAACCAAAACAAAGCCTAACCTTACAAAACTCGGAGTTTAAGAGATTGCTGGGGTTTTATTTATTTATTTTAAATGCCGAAGTTGCCCGTTTACCTGAAAGAGAGAGCTCTGTTTTTCTGTACCCGGTGCCTTTTCTATCCAGGAATCCAGCGGTTTCAGGGTATTGGTATTCTGAGCAACAACAGGAAACTTAGCTGCCAAGGTTGGTCTGCTGGATACATGCAACTGTTGCTCTTGTTGCACAATCTGGAGTTTTTTCAGTAACTCTTGAGGTGAAATCACCCCAGAGTTGGCTGCTTGACTGCCAGAGAGAGAAAGCGGCTGTCGAGGAAGTTTGGATTGTTCTTTAGCAAGTGTCTGAGACTCTAAAGTCTGGCCTGGTAGGGAACCATTGAAATACACCAGAGGTGGCTGGCTCATGTTGTTTCCTGGTGTTGCTGAACACAGAAGCTGTCGAGTTCACAGATCCTGTTGCGCTGGGCTCCATTTTAGTCGCTGCCCCTGACTGACCCTGTAATTTCTGTAATAAACTCTGCGTGCCAGCAGTATCCTGAACTACATGAGCCGCTGCAATGCCATGAGAATTCACAGGTTGGAAAAGTCCTGTGAAAGTCTCACCCACGGGGTGGATATTGCCATTTTCACAAAGTCGGTTCTCAGGAAACTCAGCAAGCGGATGAAGGTCTGTCCCACGCACCATCAGCTTCTGAATGGCAGGGCAGAGCTGTTTCTCTGCAGAGGGCGAATGCCTGCTAGGCTCTTCGTAGGACAGCGAACGTACCACACCCTGCCTAACAGGAAGATTCTCTTGATGCTGTTTATTAAGTGGTTCTGAGACATCTGGCTTTTCTTGTTTCCCAAACAGTGCTGTCAAAGACAAGTGCTGTGGTTCAGGATCCACATTCTGTGAGGGGACAAAGGAAAAAAGTAAACATACTTCCCTCACGCATAAGTTACAGTAAGCGACGACGATATTTAGCCAGCAGTATTCAAGGAAAAGCCGAGAAAACCGCTATGCTCTTTTCTCACCAAACCATTTTTAATAGTTTTGTCACATAGGAAGGGCAAGAAGACAGTTGTAGAGCTGCTAGTATGGGAGAAAACCAGTGGGTCAGAGAGAGCAGTGGCTTCCCTCTAAATACCATGAGAGAGGATCTTCCCTTTCAGCCATCAGTACAATATTAGTAAGAGAAATCTCTCTCCTCTTGTGTGAAGCAGGGCCACTTCTTGTGCACCTCCCTCTCACAGCTGAATTCTGCTTTTAGGATTTTGCAGTGTGATTCAGCTTGAAGATGTATCAAGAGACTAGTATTTCTTTGTTGCATCTGGACAGCATGCCTGTAAGTTGTAAGTAACAGGCACATTTTATAATGGGGTTGGGGGCTTTTTATAAAACAGATGAGTTATTTATTAAAATAATTCCTTACTGTGTTTCCACCTCAAACTCTTGCACTGACCTTCTGATTCAAATCAGTATTCCTACATGGCTACTCGGTTACAGTAGCACTAGGCAGAAAATACACAGAACATTCTACCTTGCTTTGGTGAGATACTCGTTGATGCTGGTTTTCACTGGGCTTCACTGGAATTGGTTTGATTAGGTTGGGGTTGTTATAGATTGCAGAGGAACTGGTTATTTGTTTTGGCTCTGAGCAGGTCTTACACTGCAACAGAAGAGAAGCATTTTTTAGTCAGCGGGACAGTATCTTTTCCCAAAGTTCTCCATGATAGTAAAATCCAGACATAGCCAAGTATTCAATAACCATGAATATTAGTTGCAGCACTGATATGAAATGATTATGAAATGTTATGCTACTGTAAGAACTATAACTGTAACCTATTTTTCTAAAACCACAAAGCATATGTAAAAATAAACACTTCATTCCAAGATTCCCTGAGTGTGAGGCTCTAATTTAAATCTCAGTTCTCTTTCTTACCTTCTGCTTTCCCAGCACTTCAAAAAAAAAAAAAAGGCAAAAAAAAAGCACCTTAGAAACCAAGCAACAGACATGCTTTTCCTGCATCAGAAGGCAGCTAGAAGTAGTTTAGATACATGAAGGGTTAATGTGCCACATTTAAAATGCTTTTTGTTAAAAACTGGAATTACAACTCAAACTCTTTTACATAAATATTCCACATTGTGGGAATTTGGAGGATGCGTATACTCTCACAGAAAAATAATTAAAGATTTAATCAATACGTAGAATCAGTATGTTTTCTTACTAAATATTACAGGATTAATAATATTTATAAAGGATGGGCAGATACAGATGGCTAATAGTGATCACGGGCATGGAATGACTGACATTTGAAGAGAGAAGGGCATGACTTAATTCAGAAAAAAATGTATAGAAAATGCTTCAGACAGAGAAATAATAAATGGAATAGGAAAATGTAAGATGGTCTTGTTTACTTTGCACAAAAAATAAGAATATAGCCAAAGAAACTAAAAAAGCATTGGGTATACAAGGAATGCCATTGTCAGTAGAAAATAAATCAATACACTGGAAGTCATTGTTGCTTGACACAACTGAAGACAAGAAAATGGAAAGACTTTTTTTAAAGAATTATCTAACAAAAAGTTAATCCTACCTAACATGAATATTCATAGTTAATTACCTGAATTTTATGCGCTCTAAATTTTATGCTGCAGGACTAATGGTTGTGTAAGGAATGATCGGTTTTGGCTTCTCATTCTTTCCTCCAAAGAGCCCAGTTTTGTACATTACCGGGGACAGAACTCTTGAGTTTTTTCCCAGGGAAAGCCTGGAGTGATGAAGACTTACCCTCGGTAGGGGAGGCTCAGGTTAGGTAGCATGTAGCCCAATGGACATACTCAAGTCCATGGGACCAGATGGGATGCACTAGGTTGAGAGCTGTCTTTGTCATTGTGAAACCACCCTTCATTTGTGAAAGGTAATGGCAACTGGGGACTGGAAGAAGACAAATATCAGTACTATCTTCAAGAAGGGCAAGAAGGAGGATCTGGGGAACTTCAGGCTGGTTTGCCACACCTCAATCTCTGGGAAGGTGATGAAACAAATGGCTTCCTACTGGAAGCCATTTCTCAACATATTAAGGAGAAGAAAGTGACTGGGAGTAGCCAGCATGGGATGTCCCCCAAAGAGGAGATCATGCTTGACCAACCCAACAGCATTTTACAGTGAGATGACTGGGTCAGTGGATGATGGGAGAGTAGTGGATATTGCTTACCCTGACCTCTGCAAAGCTTTTGACACTGTCTCTTATAATGTCCTCAAAGGCAAACTGATGAAATGCAGACCAATGAAGTGAATAGAAAACTGTCTGACCTGCGGGACTCAAAATATTGTTGACATGAAGTCCGACAGGAGGCCAATCAGTATTTTTGTACCCCAGGATCTAACACTGGAGTCAATACTGTTTAACATCTTTATTAATGACCTGAATGACGGGGCAGAGCAGGATTGCAGACAATGTAAACCAGCAATGTGTAGTTAATAGACCAGATGATGTGCTGCCATTCTGAGGCACCATGACAGGCTATGTTCCTGTCAGCCCATTTTTCTAAAGTTCAACAAAGGGAAACTGAGGAAGAATAACCCCATGCAGTACAGGTTGGTGCTGACCGACTAAAAAGCAGCTTTGCAGAAATGGATCTGGGTGGACAAGAAGTTGAATATGAACTGGCAACATGCCCTTGTGGCAACAGAAGCCAACAGCATCCTGGATTGCACTAGGCAGAGCACTGCCAGCTCATCAAGGCAGGTTCACCTCTACTGAGCACTGATGAGACCACTGGTTAGGCTGTTCTATGCTACATCCAGTTCTGGGCTTCCCAGCACAAGACAGACACAGGCACACATGAGCGAGTTCATTGAAAGTCTGTGAAGTTGATTTAGGCACCTGTCAGGCAAGGAGAGGCTTAGTTTCCAGCTCAGGATATAATACTGATGTGTATAAACACCTGATGGGAGGAAGGTCAAGCCAGCCTCTTCTCAGTGGTGACCAGTGAAGATGAGAGGCAAAAGGCAAAAAACAGAATATACAAAATCTTGTTTAAACTTCAGAAAAAAAACTTTTTTATTTTAAAGACGTCTGAATACTGGAACAGGTAGCCCAGAGAAGTTGCGGAGTCTCTGTCCATGCAGATCTTCAAAACCTGACTTAACATGGCCCTGAGCAACCTACTTCAGTTGATACTGCTGTAAACAGGGAGGTTGGATCAGACTACTTCCAGAAGTCCCTTCCAATCACATTGATTTTGTGGAGGGGAAAAAAAAAAAACCACAAAAAAAACCCACCACAACATCTTGTGGGTGCTTGCACAGTAAAGGACTTTGCAATGAATTTCTGAAGACACGATGTTGCAAAGTAGAAGTGCAGTTCCACCCATGTACCTGGCTTTCTTCTACTGTACGACAATTTCTGATTCAAATGTTGCTCTTAGAGATAACTTTAAAGCATGCACAGACAATCATGCCATAGGGTGGTTGGCTATTAGGTTTGAAGGAAGAACAAGAAGCTGTCTTCTTTCCTGCTATACTGCTCCTGCATAAACCGAGAAACTTCTTCAAGCACTAGATTAGAAAAATCATGAAGAACAAAGTACTGACTTTGGCAATAATTCTGAGCTTTACAGCAAAATTAAAATTCAGTTAAATATAAAACTGCATAGCTAGTGCCTCCTGGCTAATCTGAGCAGGCCACATTCAACATGTAAATATATTTACATCTTTTGTCCTCTCTGGGGGGAAAAAAAATTCCAAGACATAATTTTACTAGAATGTGGCATGTCATTCACCCAGAGCCTTTCCACCCATCTCACAGTGCAGGGCAACTCTGATGGCTAGAGACATCCCAAAATTCAAATAAAATGCCAAGTCCAAAGACTATTCATGGTAAGCAAAACAGTTTTCTTTTAAGGCTAGTCCATGATCACCTCCTTCATCTATGATTCAAAGCCTGATTAATGGAAGCACTTTACAGAAATCTACACTTAATTGAAGTTTCAGTTTTGCTTTGCAGTGCATATTTAAAAGTTATGAATGGATTGCTATGAAAAATCGTAACAGAAAGAAGCCATAAAAAATGTAGAAGGCAAGCATTAACGCTAAGATTACTATTAAAGATTTTACACTAAGGAAAATTTTACATTCCATTACTTAGCTCTGAGTTACATTTATCAATGCACTGCTCAAACAAATTTTTTTTTTAGGTTCTTCGGAGCTTCCATGTTGTTATCCTTGAATCTAAGCAGGGTTGGTTTGGTTGGTTGGTTGGTTTCCAACAAGCTTTATTTTATCATCATTTCCAGGCAGTTCACATGGACCCTCAACAATGTCCTAGTACAGAGCCTTCTGCTACCTCATCAAGGTTTTTTTTTTTAAATTATTTGAAATAGAGTAGCACAAATGATTGAATTGTTCAGTCACTTTCCCCACCCAGTTTCTGACCAGTGACTTACGTTTTCCCTCATTCACTTAATGACAATTAGGCATCTTTACCTAATTCATTATCATATTAAAGGGTTTTTTTCATAGTTCAAATAAGTGCTTCCTGTCTATACTAAAGCAAGTGAAGATCATTTTCTTTTTCAGACAGATCCTAACCCATTATGATACTACACAGACCAAAACCACACTTCAGAAACACTAAATAGCATTTTTTTCCTCCCAAACTGTTCTCTTTCTACAGGATGTTGCCTTTTCTTCATGATTTCTCCATCTTATTGCTATTTTCAGCATAGCCTTTTGGGCAAAAAACATAAGTACTTATTTATCTTTTTTCTTTAACATAATGGGTAACATACTCTTGCATATTTCACAATGAGTTTTGCAGAATTTAAACACATATATTTGGCCCTTATGTCTCCAGGATACTCTAATAAGCTGACTTCTTCAGAAACCATGCGTACCTTAGATTCCACTGTCATACTCTGCATGTTCACAGAATTCAGCATATAAAAATGAGGTGAGAAGCAGTCGAGTTTAACAGTTATCACTATATGAGCATTTTTCAGACCAAATTCCTCAGCAAAATGAACAGCAATATACACAAAGGCCTATGGAGAATGACACTGACTTGACTTGGTATCATTCCCACGGTTTGGTAACATGGCTAGTAGGCTGGTAACAAATACAGGAAAGTATGCTGAAGGGAAAAAAAACCCGTGATGATTTCAAAGGAATCCGTAACTATTTGACCTCAGGATATAAGGTCATTTCAATAGATGGGTAGCATGGCCTTGCTGATGAGTAAATTAGGAGCACCAGCATGACATTTTAAGCAACTGTCAGGTGGACAGGTAAAGAAGACAAGAGATGCCATCTTCATCAAACAGCAAAAAGTATCATGAAAGAAATGTCATCAGGCTCTTTAGTGATTGAACCAGAAGAGTATTCATCAGCTATGACATCTGACGATTACTACATCTTGCTTCACAGCTCTGTCCTTTAGTCATGTATCTTGTTCAACGTTATGCTGCTACAAAAGATGCATAAGAAATCAAAAGGTTCTAAGATCAAGTCAAAGAAATGCTAAGCAACATCGGAAAAAAAACATAGACATACATGGTGAATGCCATTTAAAAAGAACAAGACCACCACCTAAGATTTTTTAGGCAAGTCTAGTAGTCAGAGGCGAATAACTGTTCTGTGTTGTGAGATTCCATAGTTTACCTGTACAACATGAAGCCCAAGCTGAACAGAACACTGTCAAAGGAAACAATGGATGAGCATGGTACCCCAGTATTGCAGTTCTGAAGCAAATACCATGCCACACTTCAATCCTGTGCTCTGCGGCAAAATCCTGAGTTTGAGCCATGCGAGTTGTAAAGACCTATCAAGTACAAGGTGAAGATGCTAGAAGATGTGAAACAAGGAGAGAAAGCCAGCCAAGACCTGGTGGAACTTAGAAGAGCTGTGTTGACAGATGGCTATGCTGAAAGCAATGAAGTATTGAAGCTGTCGGAGCTCGAGTGCAGAGCTAAAAAGCCCTGGAAACTGGGGATTTCTACCTAACTGATGTAAGCAGCCACAAGATGACATTAATGAACAGTCATATGAAGGTGTACAAAGTGGTCTGCAGAAGAGAGGGGCTAAGGTGGACATGAACTATCTCGAAGAAGAGCAGTAAAAGAAGGGATTTCCAGTCAAAGCCTTGCTTAAATGAGACATACAGAATTCAGACTGCTTAAGAATCCTAACATTGACTCTGCATCATCCCAGCTGAGTAATGCACAGTGCCCTCAGGAAAACAGACAAAGGACAAAAAGACAAATGTCCACCTAATCTGACCTTTAACAGATCAAAGATGCTGTAGTAAATAGCTAGATGCTGTAGAACTGTGCAGCACAGAGCTAAAAAGAGCTGGTCTTGTAGCACAAGACAAGGCACAGTAATAAAAGAGAAAAACATCTTATCATGCTTCATTCTGTACCTTATCAGCTCTTCAATTGTTTTATGTCCCTAGCTATCATTATGAGACCTGCTAATACCACTTCTTACCAGACATCAAGAAAAGACAAGTGTGCATTAGAAGTACATTTTTCAAAAAATACTTTAGGGGTTTAGCAACTTAAAGCTCTGTTAATAAAATAAAATTAAATTAAAAAAAAAAAAAGAAGTGGAGAGGCTATGTATTTTATTTTTCATGTAACCTCCAAATGTGTGATTTAATTTCAGAATAAGATATACCCTTCAAAGTTAGGTACACTCTTAAAAAAAGAAATTCATCCTAGGACTTAAAAATTGAGCAAAATTCCTTAGATGCTTTGAAGATTGATGTTCTTATTCTACAGCTCCCAACACTTTAAAACACCCTCTTCTCCAAAACCACACAGAATTAAAAAAGGAGAACAACATATTTCACAAGTGATTTCAGTACATCAGCACTGTAAGTCATAAGACATACACTGGCAAAGATGCAGAAGTCATAAAGCAGCCAAAAAAGCATAACAGCTGCGAAATATATTGACATTAAATTAAAAAAACGGTTGTCATTGTCTTGTCTTTATTTATCACTCTCTTCGTAACACTGTATTACTAACAAAACAAGAGAAACCATACATATCCAGTTCTTAAGAGGTCAGATACTCCTAATGCTCATGTCCCAGATGAAGTTTTCATGTTATTGCCTTAGCAATCACTTCAGTGCAGAAAGATTAAAGATGAAGTAGCAGATTTAGAAAAGATCTTATCTGCAGAGGAAAAAATCAAACCCCTATTGTTTAAACAACAGATCTTCTAGAATTTCCTCCTCTTTTTCTCAATTTTCTGTGTGCTCATGTAGAAATGGAAGTTAACTTTTTAAGAGATTTATTACCTCCTTCTCATAGAATCTGAAGACAGCCTAATATTGTTCCTGGGTTTTATTTACAGTATTTTTAAGGTTATTTAATGCAAACTGTTTAAACATTTCGTAATATCTCACATCACACTCTTTTATGCCAAGACTAGATACTGGTTCAGTATTAAAACATAGAAAAGATACCAGGTTTTGGAGGTGTTTTCCACTATAGTACATTAAACCCCTATTACAGACTATAGGAAGGTCCTAAACTTCAAAAGAAGCTATACCACAACAAAAGTGGGCTACACTTCTACCATATCTCAAAAGATATTATCGTTCTGAGGATCTTATTAGTAGCCACATTTCAGAAAAACAGCTTTGTCTCTCTTTAAATTGCTTGTGTTTCAGATACATATATTTCTAGACTCAGAACACTTACGAGCTTTATTGCTGCATGACAACACATATGAAATACAGGAAACAGCAGTAGGAACCTGCAGGCTCTGTAACAATTTGCAGCGTATATATGAATACTTAAAACGATTAGATTTTTATTCCCCAAAGTAAAACGTTTTTGATTGCTCAATAATACAGAACATTATTAGTCTATTAGTTACTTCTTTATTCAGAAGCCTCAGAAGACCAAAGCAGCGCATGGGCTGAAATTATACTACATTTCAACCTTTTCATTTCCCTCCATTAGTGTTTGAAAGTAGCTAACAACCACAATTAAAAGCCGTAACTTCACTGCTAAAGGTCTTCTCTGAAGGAAGTCATTTGTACAAACCACAGCAACTATTAGCAGGTTTGAATACTCCACCCAGAAAGAGGACACAACTTCCAGGTGCTACTCGATGAGCACAGGAGCTCCAAGGGTCAAAATGAAAAGCAATTTATACTTGTTCTTACCTCCTAGCATTTAACAAATAATCAACCATACCTGTGTTCTCCTTTCAGAGGTTTTTATTGACGGCATTCATTCCTCTCAAATCTTTAGCAAATTCTGAGAAACTTTTCTACCAGACACTCCTACACAAAACGAGGGCACACTGTCCAAAGTCAGTTTCACCCTGAGTAAAACTATGTCAAAAGAAAACCAAACCAAACCTTTTCTGGTTTATAATGTAAAGTGCGAGCAAGTTGGCATCATAGTTTCGCCAAAAAGAAATATCCTCTTTTATAGACAACGAGCCTCACCTTGGTATACTCATCTTTGGCCTTGGTAAGCATCCGCAAGATGTCCACTTCTTTGTTATTAGCTGAATTCATGATCATTGGGGACAATCCTGTTCCTGTGCCCTGCTGTGCTTTGAATTGCTCCTGCTGGGTTAGGCTGAAAGTTGGAGGTGAGAAGAGCATATACAAGACAAACAGATAAAATAAAAAAAGCTTAACCGCAACTACTTTACAATAATTCATCAAAACTCAAATATTTTCATTTTCCCCCCATCCACATTAAAACATGCATAAAAAAACCTCTACTAAAAGATCTGTATTAAAACATAATTTAACCAGGTGTGAGATTCATTTTCTCCCATCTCGAACACACTAGGCTATAGACCAAAATTTCTGTAACTCAGTCACAATTTCTATACCCAGAAGGATCGGGGAATTTATAGTTTTATTCAGTTCTGCTAGTGGTGGAGGATGGCAAACATACACAAATCAGTCATTAACTACTAGCAAATGACCAATTTCCTGCCCCAGCTGTTTTATTATTGTTGTAGAATGCTGAGAATTAAAACATGCAGCCAATTGGCTGAGCGACAGGGTGTTTTTTATCTATATGCAACACTGCTATTATAAACCACTACACGTGGTTTACAATTGCATGAATCCTCTGAAAAATAGTTTTTATTGTAGTAAATTACCAGTTTGAGAGTACCTAATCACCACCAACTGAAACTTGAGCTAGTTAACTAAAATTAGCTGTCAAAAACCTGGGTTTCCTAGGGTTTATTGCTTATTTTTGTAAATTCATCCCCATCAATTATTTCTTGGGTCACAACTGACTCATTTTAGAGCTGTAGGATATACAGCAAAACTAACAAAACCCCCTAAACAAACCCCCACCACTGTCACAGTCTGTGTTTCACGATGTTTTGTCACTGCAAAATGAAAAGCAGCAGGTATGACTTTAAAAAGAGATATAAAGGAAACATGATTACCTCCCCACCCTGTATTTTATAACAAATCCTATCTGGAACAAAGTGGCAGAAGAGTTAAAGCCCTTTGCTACGGATCAAGATGTGCAAGGATGAGCTTTGTTTGGACTTGCACTGCAGGGCACGCAAATGGGCTTTGGGGCACCTGGTAACTTTGGCAATCAAAGTTGATGTCACTTCCCCAGCATGCTTCTGGCTACAGAAGCTGTTGAGACTGGCATAGGTGACCTGAAAAGGAGAGACTGACAGGTGTGACGGCCTTTGCACTGCACTCTGTTAGCACCTAATCTTGTCAGCTTGACTGTATCCACCTCCTATAGCTTTTCCTGGGGGGCCAAAGACCTGGCTCTACGTCATCCCTCCTCCTGTCCCTTAAAAGAATTGTGAGACAATGATATGTTCAACCCTACATACTGCAGGCAACTAGTATATCCAATCTCTGCTCATTCCCATCAGGCCCCTTTACCATATCCTCCACATTATAGCCCTAAAAAATTTAGATTGGATAGGTTGACAAAAATCTGTAAACCTTCAGCTCCTTCTGCCTCCAAACAAACATGAAAACCTGCAGAATATAGTCTTAAGAAATGGATCATTGCAAACAAGCTCATCATTAGGCCAACTAGAGGGTAGAGCAGAAAAGTGAGCCCCTGTCCATCCTGGACATGTGAAGAAAGCAGTGGCAGTTGAAAAAACTATCCATGATATTGTTAAGATTAAAATTCAGCTGGGGATACAGTTCTGTTTGCAATTTTAATCTCCAACTTGATTGCAAAATTAAAGGTTGTATAACATGTATAAAATAATGTTATGTACATAAAAGTACTGAATTCACAGCTAATTAAAGTCTTGCTTTATATTCAAAAAACAAAGTGAATTTCGTACATATTGCTAAGAAATAAGGAAACAGGAATTCAGCCACGATGTAGAAACAGGATTAAAAGCCACAGAAATTACATTGTTACGATATGCCTTCATGATAGCCCACACTTCATGTTGATATGGGGGGGGGGAGGGGGGGAAGGTAACAGCAAGATTAAAAAAGAAAATTTCCCCAAACTGAAACATATTTTAAAGCCTCAAAGAATACAATCCTTCAAAACAGATCTCTGAATCATCAGGAAATAAATCAGATGAACTGTTACACTGTGATGTAGCTGGAAAGCTGAGCAGCAAATTATGAGAGAGTGTTGCAATACAGTGACTTATTTTGGTTTATACAAAATGCAGGTCTGTGACAATTTTACTTGCAACAAAGTCTATAAAAATAGGCTTAGAGTAGAAAGGTAAGACGGTCCTAGTAATACAATGTGCATGTATGTACAGAAATACATACATTTTAAAAAGCACAGAAAGTCTTGTTTACCCATCACTTACTTTTTCATGAGCTCTGCAATTCTTTGGCATTCTTCCTTATCATAAAACCAAATCCCATATATGGACACTGCAAATGCACATCAAACACAAACTATGAGCATCTTCTCAAACATCAATTCTACCCCGTAGATACTTAGAAGTGACCTGTAAAGGAATTTTTAGATTTATTTCTGTCTTATGTTTTCCCCATCTATAAACATAAAAATGACACCTCAGATGCTCCAAAATCAGAAAAGATCAAAGGCATATCCCTAAGGATGTAAATTACAAACTCTTGAACCTTCAGTAAAGGTACAGAGGTATTTGATCCTTTTCTGCAGAACACTAAACCAGAGGGTTTTCTTCTTTAAAAAAACTTTCCCTGCGTCGGTTTTTTCAGTTGTCATGTCATATCCATTAGACTACAGAGGCTGGTGTACTGCAGGTAGTGCTGCACGCATACATAAGCAAGCAAGATTTGTTTAGTTTTCAACAACCTTCAGGACTATCTTCTGTATCATCAAAGCTGTTAGGAGTAGTACTAATGTATCTCTGCCTCCCTGCAGACTTCCTATAATGTTGCCCGTTATTTTCACCACCAACGAAGTAATTATCTGTAGCCAACCCCAGGACTAGAAAATCTATACCTAAGTTCAGATCTCCACTAAAGTAAGCGCCTGCAGCTTCGCACAGCCACAACAGGTTTAATTTTACTAGTTGTTTCTCAAGATTCTCAAATGTACACACTGCTAATGAAACCATCATGATGGTAATAGCCATAATGGAACTGTAGTTAGTGCAGCTTCCACTATAACAACAGAGTGCTTTTTCCACTCACGACCATGTTATATAGGTCTTGTAAGACAGCCTGGGAATAAATCTACAACATTGTCTCAAATCAGTTGGTTTGCATTTATCAGGGTAACTATCCTAGTTTTAACCTCAGGCACAAATTTGCTGTGAGAAGAGGAAGAGAGAAGCACTTAAAGAGTTAACACAGTTCTTGCCCTTTCCACCATCACCTTGTGTAACATCCATATTCCCTTTACATGATATGGTAGCAAATACGTAGCCGCTGTGTTTCTTCCCCCTTCCCATTCCTGCAGGCAATTCCTAGCACGCCTTCAAACATAGTAGGGGCTAGATTTTATTTGAAAGGGCCATAAATAGATTAAATATCTGTTTAAAAAACCCACAACACTGACCCTGAGCATGTAGAATTTCCTTATATTAGCAGAATCCAAAAGTGATCACTCCTTCAAATCCACAGAACCAAAACTGTGGCATATGAAGTATAAGTTGGCTTTGTTAATGTTTGGAAAGAAAATGAATGTGCAGCTGTTTGTAAGACACAAGTGTAATACTTATCTCCGTTCCCCCTCAGATCTGCAGCCATGTGTTGTCTTTTATATAGCTAAAAATGGTTCAACTGTTTAATACAGCATGCTGGTGAAAAGCCTAAAAAAACCCACAAACCAACAGCCATCTTGCAGACACACAATAAATAACTTCTAAAAGATGTACAGTCCTTCTTACGATTAACTTTTGAAAAGCGTGATGATGATTTCTATTATTCACCTAAAAAAAGGCGAGTAACGGAATATGCGCCAGCGGTTCTACAAACGTGCAACATACGAGCTGATATGAGCTGCACAAATAATCTTTTTTGTAACTCAGATGTTAAAATATGCATTTAAAAGAGACATTAATATTCTAACACATTCCAGTAAGCATCCGTTAATAAACTGCAAACCTGTAGAAAAGTGTGTGAATGATTCACAAGGTTCCAAAATACTGACCTCTTATGCCAAACCACACATCCTTCTGACAAAACACCTCTGAAAACCTGTCGTCCATATCATAACACAGCAAGCAGACTGAAAACCCCAGACAAGCCAAATTTGTTTTAATCCAAATTCTTCGTTATAAAAGAACCTCCAGAGCAGAGAAGTATTGATGAAACTTTGGCCATCTGCTCCATCCTCTCAATTTTTAGGTCTGCCACAGCTGGTGGCATCACCAACATGCAAGACAGGTTGAACAGCTCCACCTTTTGGTCAACTGGTCAAACATGTCACAGGCTATTTAGGAATATCTGACAAATTTGAAAGCTGACAATCCCATGAATACACTACCGTGCTTCTGGCCATTACAAGTTCAAAGACTGGAATCAACAGATTCCTAGCAGAAGCAGCTAGTTTACCTCACCTCGGCCCCAAACACAAATAAACTGTCTGATTGCCAGCATAAAGAACCAATTCAGATTTTACAGAACTACAACCAGTATTTGGAAAAACAATTCAAACAAACGCACACCCATTTCAGATCACAGAACAAGGACACTAACTATTGCCTGTCCCACCAGACCAAACCACCACCCCAACAATATATCATATCTTAGATGACGCTCTACGTCAGGATGTTGCAGGTCCAGAGACTGTTACCCTAGATACCAGCCGAGCTACAAACCCACCCCGCACATGTACTTTCTTACCTTGGTCAAATGGTACTTTCAACACAGACTAGGAAGCACGGCTGAAAGCAAGCTAAGAGAGAACCCAAGCATCCTCTGAGCTTACAGCTCACCCATTCATAGAGAAATCTTTCAGAAGTGGACAGTCCTCCTCTTCTTCCTTCCACGCTTCTCCCATCTGCCCAGAACTGATGAACACTTCAAAAATACACTGAGAAATAACCACACAGCCGCTCCATTTGTTGCAGCACATCGCATTCCAAGCTCTTGGATGCACAGGAAAAAAATGTCCCAGTGAGAAGGTAATAACTTGGTGGAAATCTGAGATACCAGGTATCCAAAGCACACTGACTTATGTTTTCATATTGGATGCTCATCACCTGGAATAAGTGGTGTAAATTCATACTACAGTGCTATATCCTGCTATAATCTACATTTAAGGAAGCAAAAATTTAAATAATAGCAGTAAAAACACGTAATAAAAGCCATCATCTTAATTAATGATGAACACAAAATGGCAAAACCAATTTTTTTATGTGTATGACAACACATAAAAACCCAGGACCAGCAAAAGAACCCAAGGTGATTACAAACTGTAACTGTCAAGCTAGGAACCTGGCGCACTCTCCACTAATAAAAGCTAAATACACACACAATACAGATTTCGCCACAAGCTTTCTACCAGCATGAGAACGCTGCATGTCTCAGCAGCATTAAATCTAAACAGATTAGTTTTATCTGCCCTTCATCTCTATCCGACCGTTTGGCAAAAAGGAAATCCTGATCTAAGTATCATCTGTAGAGTGGTAATTTCACCAAAACGTTCACATGTTAAACATGAATCATTAAACAGTGGAGGCACAACTGAATCACTAAACAGCAGATGCACAAAGCAGATTCTTCTACTGTGGCACAAAAGAGGAAATTTTAGGTCACCTTTAGGTCCAGCTTCAGCTATAGAGTTATTCAAGAAGAGCTTATTGTAAAAAATGCAAGAAGAAGAAACAAATCCAAGTCCAGTATCTTCTGCTAAGTGAGCCAGTTACATGAAAAGTAGCTAACACAAGTTCAATAAGGAGAGCCAGTTTTATACTGACAAGATGGTACACATCTATCCATCCACTTTCAACAGGTCCTAAATCATCTACTAAAAGAAATAAGATTTAGTAATGAATTGATCACATTAAAGGAAAAAAAAAAGGCACCGAAGTTCTGATGTTGTTAACAAGATTACACAGAACTAGGATATAATGAAGCTATCAAATAATTAATATTGAATGGGAATAAGCTAAATAAATTACATAAATAATTTAATTGAACTTATTAAATATTAAGAGATATCAGTCTTTAGAATGTTCAAAATGTGAAAAAGATAGGTTACTCATAAATCAAAACTGAAAAATTTTAACAACCTGTGAAGCTCATTTAATATAGCTCAGTGATTGAATTTTGGGAAGTATGTTATCTAATTTTTAAATCACAACTTCAGAGCCAATTCTACAGCTTCCGCCTTACAATATTCATTTTTTGGCTATGGATTTCTCCTGTCCTCACAAACACTAGAGCATTCGATACTATTTATAAGCAGAAGCTGACAGCTGCTCTCTACCAGAATTATAGATGACAATTTCTAACCTCTCACAATCTGAAAAATTTATTTATTTATGATGATGATGAAAAATTTCTTAACAACTTCCATAATTCATGCTAGGTATCCTTTTAAAAAGGAAGGAATTTTCTCTAGGATTATTTATTTTACTCTTCATTTGTCTAGCTTCAACTTCCAGCTATTAGTTTTTTGTCTTCTGGACAGATATGTCCATTATCAGAGTTTTGGTTTCGGTGTACCTGCAACACTTTATTTTTAAGCTATTGCTCCACAGACTGCATACAGTATTTAAGCTTGGTAAAAATAAGTATAGAAATATCATAACTGCTGACTAGAGAGTTCCCTGTACCTAGGAAACTGTTTAACACTTGCTGGTATAATAAACAAATAAATAAATTTGCTCGTCAACTTTCATGTTCTATTCTTTATATCATGCTTCTTAAGGTACTTTATTCCCTATGTAGGGCCTAGACTCTTGCTCCTCAGTATGTAAATCCACACTTGGCTACATTAAAATGCAGTGTCTCTACAAACACCTTACAAGGCAGCCAGATTCCTTTATGCTGGTCATCTTTTCACTTTGTTATCCACAATTCATCTCATATTTGACTATTCAGCAAACTATCAAGGCTTGCATTTCTTTTTCTAGTACTTTTTAGAATATCCTCCATTGTGTAGGAGCTACTGAAAAAAAGAACCAAAGTAGGATGCATTTAGAGTAATAATTTTTAATCTATGAGCTCTTAACTTAAAACATGAATTAAAGCATGTCACGTCAATTTTGTGCTCTTCTACTCTAATGCAAATGTGATCCCTTTGTCCACAATACTGTCTTTAAAATTCCAACAGAAGCATATGATGTTCCTTCCACTCCGCTCAGGCTCAAGCAGTGAAGCAGACTTGCCTGCTGAAGCTCTACATCCTGCTCTGCATCATAACGCAAGAGAGGACTGCAACAAAGGAAAGATGATCTAAAAAACCCGCAGCTAGGGCAGCTGTACACTGC